TATGGAAGTAAAAGAAAAGTAAAGAGAGTGGTGAGAGAGTGCAAAAGGAGAGCAGATGATAGAGTGGGAGAGGCACTGTCAAGAAATTTTAATGAAAAAAAGAAAAAATTTTGGAGTGAGTTAAACAAGTTACGAAAGCCTAGGGAAAATATGGATTTGTCAGTTAAAAACAGAGTAGGGGATTTATAGAGGGGAAGATGGAGGTTTTGGGGTAGGGCGAGAATTTTTTTGAGGAACTTTTAAATGTTAAGGAAGAAAAGAGGCGAAAATTTCAGGGCACGGGTCGGGGAAAGGTATACCATCTTTTAGGATGAAGAAGAGGGGAATGTAAGTGTGGGGGAGGTACGGAGGCATTACTAAAATAAAGGGGGGTTTAAAAGCAGCTGGAATGATGGGATCATGACGGGAAATTTTAAAAAAGGGGGGGGGGGGGGGATAAAAGTGTTGGAGGGGGGTTGGTAATTTTTTTTAAAATAAAGTATAAAAAGGGGGGGGAAAAGGTACCTAGGGTTTTGGGGGGAGGGGCATGTATGGGTCCCTTTATAAAAAGGGGAAAGGGGACAAAAGAGACTGTAAAAATTATAGGGGAAAATAAGCTTATTGAGTATACCGGGGAAAAGGGTTTTCGTAGGGTTTAATTGAAAGAATTAGAGGAAGGGACAGAATGTAGGATTGCGGATGAGCAAGGGGGTTTTCAGAGGGGGTTTGGGGATGTGTAGAAAAAAGTTTCATTAAAAGCATATATGTAAACAGTATTTAGATAAAGGTAGGGAATTTTTATTGTTTTTATGGTTTTTGAAAAAGGCATATGATAGAGTGGTAGAGGAGCAATGGGGCAGATGTTGCAAGTATAGGGAATAGGTTTTAAGTTTTTTAAAATCAAAAAAGATTTTTTTATGAGGATGGTGGGGGCTCGGGTTTTAGGGGTGTGTAGAAAGGGGGGAGACTATTTCCCCGGTTTTAAAAGAAAGGACTTAGACGGGGGGGTGTAATGCCACCTTGGTTGTTTAATATATTTTAGATGGGGTTGAAAAGGAAGTAAAAGGTGGGTGTTCGGGAGAGGGGTGGGATTAAATTTTGGGGAATCAAATTCAAAAGGGGAAAATTGACACGGGTTATTTTTTGTGATGAACTGTGTTTTGGGAGTTTTCTAAAAAAAAAAATTGAAAAGGGTTTTTGGGATGATTTTGGGAATGGGGTTTTAAAGGTAGAAAGTTGAAAGTGAACTTTGAAAAAAAGTAAGGTGTGAGGGTGTCAAATGATTTAGTTTAAAAAAAAATTTGGGTTAATTAAATTGGGGAGGAGGAGAAATGGAAGAAGGGGAATGTTTTTCAGATACTTGGGAGTTGACGTTTTCGGCGGATGGATTTTTTGAAAGGTAGGTTAATCTTTGAATTGATGAGGGAAAAAAAAAGGTTTGGGGGTTTCTTGAGGGATATGTGGAGTCAAAAAAAATTTTCCCATGGAGGCCAAAAAAGGGAATGTATGAAAATATAGTAGTACCAACCCCTTTTAAAATTGGGGGGGGGGAAAACTTGGGTGGTTTTAAAAGGGAGTTGCGAAGGGGGAAGGTTTGGGGCATGGAAAATGGGGGCCTGTTTAAGGGGAATGTGTGGTGTAAATAATTTTCAGAAAATTCGGAGTGGGGGAAATTAGGAGAAAAGGTTTTGGAAATTAATAAAGTATTAGTCAAGGGCAGAAGAGGGGTTGTTGAGGTGGTTTTTGGGCATTTAAAAGAATGGATCAAAAATAGAATGACAGGAAAGCAAAAAATCTATAGGGGGAAGGAAGGCGGGGTAGGGGGGTTTGTCCCCGAAAGGTTTGGAGAGAGGGGGTAAAAGGGGGGTTTTTTTTGGGCAAGGGCCCTTTGGAAATTCCAAACAAACCCCGCCCTGGGAGCTGTTAGATAGGAGTGAATGGAAAAACGAATGGTTTCTTGGGAACCCCGACGATCTTTTGGAGTGTGAGCAAGGGGAATTTTTTGGAAGGGATTCAAAGGGGAAACCCGGGTTTTTTTTCATTTTAGTCGGGCTTGAGTCCTGGAAATGGGAAGTAAATGCCTTTCACTTTAAAGGGGGGGTTTTGGGGTATTGGCAGTTTGGAGGGATATGTTGTGTATCTTTATATGGGGTATTCTTCTAGATGTTGGATTCTGAGCACCTCTGCAAAAAAAGTGATAAAAGTGGAGGTGGTTTAAAGTGTTGAATGATGATGAAAGTAATTTTTTTTTTGGGGATTTTCTTTCTTTTTTGGGTCACCCGCGTCGGTGGGAGACGGCCGCTTGTTGAAAATTTAAAAAAAATATAAATATATATATTTTATATATAATATTTATATATATTTCAACAAATCGGCCGTCCCCCCACCAAGGCAGGGGGACCCAAAAAAAAAGAAAGAAAATCCCCAAAAAAAAAATACTTTTATCATTTTTTCAACACTTTCACTGTGCAGATGCTCCCGACAGTGACGAATACTCTAAAGCATAGAAAACCTACCAACAAGGACGATCTTGTACACTTTTATCCACCAAGACTCCTGCATAAGAGGGTCCTCTTTGGCTTCTTAAGGCTCTTCGCATCTCCAGCGCCTGTTTTCTAGAGAAGAATGCACTTACATAACCAAGCCTTTACTTTTTAGTTCACATCTTTCTTCTTTCGAGGTGAATAAAGGCACAAGTATCCTCAACAAACCGCCCATGGAACAGCCCCTAAACAGTATTACTCCCATGGGCAGATTTTTCCAATTATCGCAGGGCATGTAGTGTAACATCATATTTTACCTAAACACATTTTATCAAGACCTCTCAACAAAAGCCCCAGCCCCTTAATCTACTGCAGGCGTCTACACTATCCCCTGTGGGTTCTGTCCCAAGAAATATGAGGCGAGACCGCAGGATCTGCAGTCCGCCTGAGAGCATCGAAATGCCTCTAACAGAAAATTTAGGTACCATGTTCCTCCACAGAGATCTCCACGGGCATTTGATGAACTGGAATGAGGCAACTCGTTCAACCGAACAGACCTCAAAGCACGGTGCCTAATCCTCACTAACCCTTCACCGCCCAAAACGCAACCGGAAACTACAAATTTCAAAACATTTGGCATACATGAACTTAGCAGACTCAACCCAACAACTAAGGAGTCACTATTAATCACTACCCGTCCATCAAGGTAGTAGTTTTTAAAGGCAGCCTTCGATTGCCATTGCCTGAGGAAAGTTTCCATCATTTTAGTTCTTATGTGCATCTCCCGACAGTGTCACCAACTTCTCTTCAAAGTGTATAGAAAACCTCCATAAGGACGATGTACACTTTGTACTTCACATCCTATAAACTCATAAGAAGTGTCCTTGCTTCTTCTTGAAGCTCTTCGCATCTCCAGCCCTTGTTTTCTAGAAGAAGAAATGCACTTCCCATAACACAAGCTTTACACGTCTTCAGTTTCCCATCCTTCTATCCGAGATTGCAGACTCAAGGCACAAGCTATCCTCAACAAACCGCCCATGAACAGCCCCTAAACAGTTCATAGTACTTCCATGTTGGCGATTTGCCACGAATACTCGCAGGGCCACTTGTATGAGTACATCAACTTTCTACATAACTACATCATCTATCAAAGGCCTCACTAACGAAACGCAGCCCCACACCTCTAACTTCTACTGCAGGCGTCTACACTATCCCGTGGGTTCCTGTCCCAAGAATATACGAGACCGGCAGAGATTTGCAGTCCGCCTGAATGAGCATCGAAATGCCTCTAACAGAGACAATGTAAGGTACGCATGTGTCCTCCACAGAGACTCCACGGCATTTGATGAACTGGAATGAGGCACAACTCGTTCTCACTCGAACCAGACCTCAGACGCCGACGGTGCCTAAAAAGCCTCACTAATCGCCATCACCGGACACTAAGAACCAGAACTGGAAACTACAAAATTTCAAAAAACATTGGCATACATGATACTTAGGCAGCACCAACCAACAACACGGAGTCAATGATTACATCGTCTACCCGTCCTATCTAGGTAGAGGTTTGTTTTGAAAGGACCTGCCTGCATGGGCCAAGTGGCCTTCTACATGTTTCCTCCATTCTTATGTTCTTAGGACATTCCCAGGTCACGTGTGTCAAACCACTCTCCGCTATTATATAATGTCTCTCTACCTCTGTATGTTAAAAGTGATTCAAGTCCCAGGACCGAAACGTTTTTAATAAATATGTACCAGTATTTGCTTACATGTCTTTCTAACCAATTTGGGTCGGTATTTATTACCAAGGTTTAACATATATATATATATATACACTGGACCCCGGTTAACGATTTTTTTCACTCCAGAAGTATTTTCAGGTGCCATTACTGAAGAATTTGTTCCAATAAGGAATATTGTGAATTAGATTAGTCCATTTCAGACCCCAAACATACACGTACAAACGCACTTACATAAATACACTTACATAATTGGTCGCATTGGGACTGATCGTAAACCGGGCCCACTGTATATATATATTATATATATAATATATAATATATATATAAATATATAATATAGTATATATATATATATATATATATATATATATATTCAACAAACCGGCCGTATCTCACCACGGCAGGGTGGCCTAAAAAGAAAAACAAAAGTTTCTCTTTTTAAATTTAGCAATTTATACAGGAGAAGGGGTTACTAGCCCCTTGCTCCCGGCATTTTAGTTGCCTCTTACAACACGTATGGCTTGCGGAGGAAGAATTCTGTTCCACTTCCCCATGGAGATAAGAGGAAATAAACAAGAATAAGAACTAGCAAGAAAATAGAAGAAAACTCAGAGGTGTGTGTATATGTATGCTTGTACATGTATGTGCAGTGTGACCATCATATAAAACAATTAGAGGCTTTCATTTTACACTCACTTGGCAGGATGGTAGTACCTCCCTGGGCAGTTGCTGCCTACCAACCTACTACCTTTGATATATATACAGTGGAACCTCAAATATCGAACTTTCTTCAGTCCAGAAGTCTGTTCGAGTGCCTTTACCGAGCAGTTCAGTTTTTGAGGTTCCACTGTATATATATATATTTTTTTTTCAACAAGTCGGCCGTCTCCCACCAAGGCAGGGTGACCCAAAAAGAAAGAAAATCCCCAAAAAGAAAATACTTTCATCATCATTCAACACTTTCACCTCACTCACACATAATCACCGTTTTTGCAGAGGTGCTCAGAACACAACAGTTTAGAAGCATATACGTATAAAGATACACAACATATCCCTCCAAACTGCTAATATCCCGAACCCCTCCTTTAGAGTGCAGGCATTGTACTTCCCATTTCCAGGACTCAAGTCTGGCTATATAAAAATAACCGGTTTCCCTGAATCCCTTCACTAAATATTACCCTGCTCACACTCCAACAGATCGTCAGGTCCCAAATACCATTTGTCTCCATTCACTCCTATTGAACATGCTCATGCACGCCTGCTGGAAGCCCAAGCCCCTCCTAGGTAGTAGGTTGGTAGACAGCAACCCCCAGAGAGGTACTACCGTCCTGCCAAGAGAGTGTAAAATGAATGCCTGTAATTGTTTTACATGATGGTAGGATTGCTGGTGTCCTTTTTTCTGTCTCATGAACATGCAAGATTTCAGGTGCGTCTTGCTACTTCTACTTACACTTAGCTCACACTGCACATACATGCCCACCAACAGAAACAGCAAACAGACTCAATGACTTCTTCTCCACTATAGGACAAAACCTTGCCAATAAAATCCCAAGCTCAGATACCCCACCAAATGACTACCTCACTGGCAACTACCCGAACACACTGTTCCTAGGTCCGACTAACCCATACGAAGTCTCCCTTATTATCAACACGCTAAAAAACAAGGCAGGAGATTTAAATACCTTACCACCCTTTATATACAAAAAAGTGTCACAAGTGCTATCACCAATCATTGCAACACTCTTTAACAAATCCATTGAATCCTCCACCTTCCCTACAGTACTCAAAATAGCAAGGGTCACCCCGATCCACAAAGGAGGAGACCAAACAGAGTTGAATAACTATAGGCCAATATCCAACTTACACCCTCTCTCAAAAATCTTCGAAAAATTAATTCATAAACGAATCTACTCCTACCTTATCTCCCAAAACATACTCAACCCCTGCCAATTTGGATTCAGGCCAAATAAAAATACTAATGATGCTATTATACACATGCTAGAACATATATACACTGCAATAGAGAAAAAAGAAGTCCCACTGGGGATCTTCATTGACTTACGTAAAGCTTTTGATACAGTTAACCATGACTTGCTCCACGTAAAATTGTCACACTATGGTATAAGAGGGCACTCCCTCAACTACCTCAAGTCATACCTCAGCAACAGAAGCCAATATGTGTATGCAAATGGGGCAAACTCTTCTGCACAACCAATTACAGTTGGTGTCCCACAGGGAAGTGTCCTTGGCCCTCTTCTCTTTCTCCTATACATAAATGACCTACCAAATGCTTCGCAATTACTCAAACCCACACTATTTGCAGATGACACTACATACGTCTTCTCCCACCCGAGCCCAGTCACGCTAGCCAATACTGTAAATACCGAATTACAGAAAATATCTACCTGGATGAGGACTAACAAACTTACACTAAACATTGACAAAACCTACTTCATTCAGTTTGGTAACAGAGCTACAGATGTCCCTCTTAACATAATGATAAACGGATCACCTATCACAAAGCTAACAGAGGGAAAATTCTTAGGAATCCACCTTGATAATAGACTCAAATTTCATACACAAAATACAACAAATTTCTAAGAAAATTTCCAAGACTGTAGGCATACTATCGAAGATACGGTACTATGCTCCACAGTCAGCCCTCCTGGCCCTATATCACTCTCTTATTTACCCCTATCTCACCTATGGAATTTGTGCATGGGGCTCAACAACAAGTAACCATCTCAGACCACTAATTACCCAACAAAAGGCTGCAGTTAGAATGATAACAAATTCTCACTATAGGCAGCACACTCCACCAATATTCAATACACTAAACCTATTCACCATACAAAACATTCATACTTATTACTGCACCTATTACATACATAGAACACTTAACTCTGATATTAACCCTCCCCTCAAACATCTCCTTGCCAACCTCAACAGAACACATGACCATAACACAAGGCACAGATCACTCTTTGATGTTCCTCGTGTCCATCTCACACTATGCAAAAACTCAATGCACATAAAAGGCCCTAAAATCTGGAACTCAATTACCTGTAAATATAAAAGAAACACTACCTGTTTATAAATTCAAGTCTCTTCTCAAAGATCACTTACTCACCCAAAACCAAATAAATACTGAATAACTGAACCTTATAAATTGTATATCTTAAATGTTTCTCACAATTATATCACATAAATGTTAAACCAAGAACCCAATCTAACTTTATTATTTTTTAAATACACTACCTAACAGAATACTCCATTCTACTGAATGTACAACAATGCATACAACCATATGACCTGTCTTTGTAATACTCACTTGTGCTTTATAGTAATCTGTTTACATTAAAGTATTATCACTGATGTCATCATTGCTTAGTTCATCTTAAGTTAATTTTAAGCCAGCCCGTAATGCTATGCATAGTATAAGTGGCTTTGGCATGCTGCTCTTATCTGTATTTTTTGTACCTCTGTATGTGTGCTCAAATTTTTAAATAAATAAATAAATAAATAAATGTACAAGTACATATATACACACCCCTCTGGATTTTCTTCTATTTTCTTTCTAGTTCTTATTCTTCTTTATTTCCTCTTATCTCCATGGGGAAGTGGAACAGAATTCTTCCTCCATAAGCCATGCGTGTTGTAAGAGGTGACTAAAATGCCAAGAGCAAGGGGCTAGTAACCCCTTCTCCTGTATAAATTACTAAATTTGAAATGAGAAACTTTTGTTTTTCTTTTTGGGCCACCCTGTTCTTGGTCTTATTACTTTTCCTTTTATATCCATGGGGAAGTGGAATAAGAATCTTTCCTCCATAAGCCATGCGTGTTGTAAAAGTCAACTAAAATACCGGGAACAATGGGCTAGTAACCCCTTTTCCTGTAATAATTACTAAAAAGAATAAGAAGAAAATTGGCAAAGTGTGAGGTCTGAATGTGTGTGGATGTTGTGCAAATGATAAGAAAAAGATGATTGTGGATGTTATGAATGAGAAGAAGCTGGATGTCCTGGCTTTAAGTGAAACAAAGCTGAAGGGGGTGGGAGAGTTTCAGTGGAGAGGAATAAATGGGATTAGGTCAAGGGTTTCAAATAGAGTTAGAGGTAAAGAAGGAGTAGCAATAATGTTGAAGGATAAGTTATGGCAGGAAAAGAGGGACTGTAAATGTAGTAATTCAAGGAATATATGGAGTAAAATAAAGGCTGAATGTGAAAAGTGGGTTATATTAAGCGTATGTGCACCTGGAGAAGAGAAAAGTGTAGAGGAGAGAGAGAAATTTTGGGAAATGTTGAGTGAATGCGTGAGGAGTTTTGAACCAAGTGTGAGAGTAATGGTGGTTGGGGATTTCAATGCTAAAGTGGGCAAAAATGTTGTGGAGGGAGTAGTAGGTAAATTTGGGGTGCCAGGGGTAAGTGAAAATGGGGAGCCTTTAATTGAGCTATGTGTAGAAAGAGGTTTGGTTATAAGTAATACATATTTTATGAAGAAGAGGATAAATAAATGTACAAGGTATGATATAGCACGTAATGAAAGAAGTTTGTTAGATTATATATTGGTGGATAAAAGGTTGATGGGTAGGCTCCAGGATGTTCATGCTCATAGGGGGGCAACTGATATATCGGATCATTATCTAGTTGTAGCTACAGTTAGAGTAAGAGGTAACAAAAAAGGCACAATACCGTGACTGGAACGATACACAAATAACCCGCACATAAAAGTGAGAAGCTTATGACGACGTTTTGCTCAGACTTGGACCATTGACAAAGTCACACTAACCAGAGGAGGAGCAGGACGGCTATATATAGGCAGGAAGAGGTTGTGGTGGTGGTAGTAGTAGTAGTAGTAGTAGTAGTAGTACAAGAGTTGTATATAATACCGACAAGATGAAATTAAGACACATGCACAACACCCGGGCATCCCCATCATAGACGTTTCGCCATCCAGCCAGCCACTGGATGGCGAAACGTCCACAACTAAGACAACCAGACGCCGCACATGTGTCTTAATTTCCTCAGTAGTTGTAGTAGTAGTGGTAGTGGTAGAAGCGGGAAATAAAAAGGACGAGCCAGTCAAAAACAAAGGAAGGGGAGCACTGCAAGAGAGCTAGATGCTCACAGAGGGAGAGCAAGCGCACAGAGGTGCATGAAAGGGAAGTGGTGAAATAAATGAAGAAGGAACAGAAACACGAGACAGGAGAGAGAAAGACAACCCAGAGGAGAAAAGGAAAGGGGAAGAGGAAGAAGAAGAAAAAGAAAAAGAAAAAATGAGGATTCAGGTTAAGTCACGGGTGTTCTGAAGATTGGAGCATTTTACAATGTAGTGGGAGAGGAAGGCATCTACAGAGACGAAGCCAGGGCTAAGGTTCATACAAGGAAAGTTGTGTATTAGAGAGGATTCAACTAGATGGCGACTGTTCGAGTTGGAAGTAGGGAAGACAGTTTTAGCAGAAGACCAGTCAATAGGATGGCTATGATCTCTGATGTGGCAGAAAAGAGCATTGTTAGTGTCGGCAAGCCTAACACTATTTTTTGTGCTCCCTAAGTCTGTCAGAAAGAGATTGACCAGTTTCTCCGAAGTATTGAAGAGGACAGGAGGAGCAAGAAATAGAGTAGACACCAGGAACATCTGTAGAGGGAGGAGAGGTATGAACGAGATTAGTGCGAAGAGTGTTAGTCTGGCGGAAGGTAAGCTTGATGTCTAAGGGACGGAGAGAATTGTTGAGATTAGAAAGACCGGAAATGTAGGGAAGGCAAAGGATAGAAGAGTTCTCATGAGTAGAGAGTTTGGGAGAGAAGAAATTGCGTTTAGCACGTGAG